AAACAAATGGCGGACAATTTGAATCATATTTCCGACGACGAAGAGTCAGAATGGCTGGCAAATATAGATCCAAGTTCATTAGATGAATCGAACGAAGAAAAACAGCTTGACGACCAGAAAATTTCTTCATTTAATGAAGAAAATAGAAACAGCAACACAACAACGCGCCAATTCCGTTCCGCTTCGCATACTTCTGTCACGCACTCCCCGTAAATAAATATCCGCGAAATTCGCCCGCACTGAAATAACAGTTTGGCGTGTTGGATAATAAATAACTTATTAGACGTTTTGTTGTGTAGTATCGCTGAGTATTTTTACGAGTTGTGCCGTATTTTGACGAGCCCGTAGGGCGAGTCAAAATACAAATAACGAGTAAAAATACTCAGCGATACTACACAACAAAACGTCTAATAAGTTATTTATTATCCAACACGCCAAACTGTTATTTCAGTGCGGGCGAATTTCGCGGATATTTATTTACGGGGAGTGCGTGACAGAAGTATGCGAAGCGGAACGGAATTGGCGCGTTGTTGTGTTGCTGTTTCTATTTTCTTCATTAAATGAAGAAATTTTCTGGTCGTCAAGCTGTTTTTCTTCGTTCGATTCATCAAATGAACTTGGATCTCTATTTGCCAGCCATTCTGACTCTTCGTCGTCGGAAATATCATTGAAATAGCCTGCCACCTTTTTTTTTTCTGTAACTACAATCCAATTCTTCGCTTGCGCGATGCCAGAAAACCAGTATAGCCGGTACTACAATAGACGAGTACAAATACTGCGTGATATTCGTACTCGTTTATGGCGTTATTCGTACTCGTCTAGGTGTAGTTGGATAATAACACTGATTATTATCCAACTACAACTAGACGAGTACAAATAACACCATGGACGAGTACAAATCACGCGGTCTAATAAGATATATGTATTTTACTCGTTTGTATTTGTTTGTAAAATACGGCACAACTCGTAAAAATACTGAGCAATACTACACGAAAAAACGTCTTGTAAGATATTTTTATTGTATGACCCGTCCGGATCCATTCGTGCAATCCTATAGAAAACCATAGTAAAAGCAAACGCTTGCAGGGCGGGACGGGACGGGTTGACGTGAGCCGGTCCGGAAAAAGCTGTCCGGCCCTGCTGCCCTCACATCGCTTTGTTGCAAAATCTTAAAGGAAACAGAAATGAGGAAAAAATTCGGGTTTTTCAAGGAATTAGGAGTTTCTTGCTCTGACTTGAATCAATAAAGGAAAAGTTTTAATTGCAGAAATTTTTTTGTGCTCGTGTGGCTGCGTGTGCTCGTATGTCGCGTTCTATTTACTTTGAAATTTTACAGCACTTGGTGGTCATACGATAAAATGCTTATTGACTGAGTAGGAGGGCCGCACAGGAAAATATCTGGCTCTCGGTCATGAGGCACGTACCTTGCTGCGCTCCGTCCGTACGTCATGACCTTGAGCCCACTATTTTCCCGTCCGGTCCTCCCACTCAGTCACTGTGTAGTTAATCTTCACTATGACTACATAACAAATCGTTTCTTCTTAGCGAAAGTGAAATGGTTTGGTTTTTCATTGGTGTTCATACAATTAAAGCAATGTCATATGGCCGCTTGGAGATGCGAAATTTCTCTCATCGTGTTGAAAATATTTCAACACGAGAAGAGGAATTTCACATCTCCACGCGGCCATGTAAAATCCTCTCTGTATCAATTGTCAGGCACGCGATTTGATTTTCCAAAGAGAAGCATAACGAAAATACTCCTTAGTCAACACGAAAAATACTCCTTGGTCATATTTTCCATTGTCCAGGAATGCTCGTCCTCCAGATCGGTTTGTAGTCACTGTGCTGTCTTCCTAGTCAGTCTGTACTATACTGTTTTTGACCGAAGTGGTCTTCTTATCTTTCAGTTTCAGAGAACAGCTCTACAAAAAGCTGATCGCAACAATCACCGAACCATAGTTGAGCTACTTTTAAGGAATAATGCGATTCCCAGTTACAATCAACCGGTACGGTAATGAAGTATGCTACTTCCAATGATGATTTGTAACCGCACAGATTGGTTATAGGTTAAGTCATTTTGGTCAAGGAAAAGCTTCTTTTCACTTACATTGTTTATTTCCGGTTCGTTATAGCTTTCAAAATTTGTAGAAGCTTCAGATTTAACTTCGATTTGCCTTGACGTATTCGTCTGCGTCTTCATGCGCGTGGCGTGATTCGTCTCCAGGGCCCAGTTGTTCAAAGGGCAGATAACGCTATCTGACAGATAAATCGCTAACCAGCGGATACGTGTTGAGAATTTGTACTGCGCCATTCATCAGATGGAAATTTATCCTTTCGCGCGTATTTATGGACAAAATCAATCGAAAGATTCTCCCCAATGAATGTGTTGTGTCTTTTAGTAGTTGTGAACTCCCTTTGCTTTTGTTTCAATCATTTGACTTATTGTTGTTGCTTCTCTCGAATGCGAAACTTATTAAGAAGTGAAGGATTCATATGGAAAATAACAATTTTGTTTTGATCTCCAATGGGTGTGATTCAACATTGTCAAGTAGTGTGTTTTCAAACAAGATCTTTTAACGCGAACTCACGGACTAGATGACTGTTTTGAATCTAGGTGGCACTCGTTTAAAAATGTCAGTCTTGTATCAGTCTTGTACTAGTTTGTTCGTTTGCTTCACTGATTTACTGTACATTATCTTTCTTTACAGCCTAGCCTCAGGTCCCTTTCAAAAAGCGCTTTTCTGCAAGTAGATGCACGATCCGGCTTCAATCGACTGCACACGGCTGTATTTCATGGCGACTATTACACGGTTTTGAAAACTCATGTCTATCTTGATAATTATGTTCAACACATGAGTTTTCCAAAAACAGGAAACCAATCAAAGGCTTTTCCTGGAAAAACTGCATTAGAAATTCTCTTGGCTCTGCAAGAAAAAGGAGAAGGAAATGTTGAAATAGATAACCTGTACAAAGAGGACGTTGAGAAGAGCGATACATTCACTGAGCTGCACTTATGTAGATGCAACAATGATGCAGAGAAGGCTGTGGAGATTGTTCTAAACGAGGGTGTAGATATAAATATACCAGGAAAAAGCAACCGTACACCTTTGTTGTGGGTAAGTCTATCATCCTCTGGTGAGTTTATTCAGACCCTTATTGATCTTGGAGCTAACGTTAATGTTCAGAGGACAGACGACAAGACTACACCTTTGAGATTAGCAACTACTTGGAACAACTACATGGCCGCGGACATCCTGTTGAGGCATGGAGCTGATGTGAATATTCAAGATGTAGACGGATGGACTCCATTGGAATGCGGTGTAAGCAGTGGATTTCTAAGTATATCCCAGCTTCTGGTTGATTGCGGATGCGACATTAACTTACGGAACAAGTATGGAAAAACCTCGCTTTACTTGGCCGTCAAACTTGAACATAAGCACTTAGTCAAATGTTTACTTGAAAGCAACGCTGATGTGAATATGAAATACAAGGAGAATGCAGGTGAAAGAATTTACCTCGTTCGTGGAAAGGACAGAGGAAAACCAGTCTGGCATTATCTTCTTGTACAGAAAGCTCTTTTGCCCTTGTTCTTGAGGAAGATTAAACTCAACGTTACAGACTTTGGAAAAGTCCTCAAATCTGGATGGGGAAAGGACCCTCCCGAGAGCGTTAGAGAGGAAATTACAGAGACAGGAAACGCCTTCCATGGCATTGACAGCTTTACAGTACTTCATTTTGCGAGTAAGAATGATAGTCCCGAGATTATAGATCTTCTGGTGAAGCACAATGCCAATATAAACGGATGCGATGGAGATGGCTTTACGCCTCTGCATTTAGCAGCGATGCATGGTAATGTTCAAGTTGTAAAAAAGCTGGTTGAACTCAACGCTGACGTCAACTTGAAAGTGGATGGCACTGATGCAGCTGATTTGGCGCATATGAACGAAGAAATAGAAATTAAGGAATTTCTAAAATCTAATAGCAGCTCACCTTTAAAGACTTAGGCATTTAATCGGTGCAAAGTCGTTCGGATTCAAAACGCACCAAAAGAGACAGAACGTGGCTTTAGATTCGTCGAGGAAAATTTAAGTTAATTCATCCCGAATACTAAAATGGTAGATGTTTCAATTCATGGTTTTTGTTTTACATCTAGTCAGCGCACCTAAAAAGTGTTTGTTAGACAAAATTTGGAATAGCTTCTGAATTCGAACGCATTTGACCATCGATAAAGTTGGCATTCAGTCCGTCTGACGCTATTACTTTCAATATTGACAGTTTTCTTATAATTTCGACTGGTGAAATTTAAACAGTATTTAGTAAAACACTGATAAGGCCAAGGACCTTGGCAAATGAGCAGCTGAATGTAAAAAATGCGGTTTTACACTAATCCTTTGTACATATGGTAAAGTTTTTTAATTATCCTAGCTTTCGTAAGTGAATTGACATATCAGTCGATTATCGATGTTTCTTAAGCGTAGTAAATGGAGATTCTAGTACAGAGGTTTGGACGTAAAAAAAAACCCCAAACAAAACAAAACAGCAAACTACAGATCTGTTCACAACACCTGCACTTGTTAGTCGTCATTGATGAAAAGAAAGAGGCTAAATGTTTTTTCTCTATACACGAAGTATGATTCTTAGCGTGTTCAAGGTTGAAGTTTAACACTCAATAACGTTCTTAGTCGCTATATCCTTTTGGAGTGTTTGGGACTAAGCGTGGGAATGCTATTTAACTGTGAAGTAGTTTACTTTGAATTCTGGGATGTTACATGCGAACCAAGATACATACACTTAAGGTGTATTTTATATTTCTCTCTGTATGCTGGTGATTGTATAAAGAGACCAATTCCGCACCAGAACCAAAGTATTTACGGCCGACGCAAAATAGAGAAACATCAAAAGAACCAAGCAGAACCCATAGTTAATGCATGCAAACGTTCTAAAAGGCGGGAAAACGCGGAGAACCAGGTTTCGGTTTTTTTCTTCTGATTAGCCAAGAGGACGGCGTAGGTTTGTTGACCAATCACAGGAAGTGGTGTAACGAAACCGATGCGACCCCGCATAACTTTCGACATAAAAAATTTAAACCAAAATGGAATTAAAATAATGGTAACTGTTATCTAACGCTTCCTATAAAAGAAGCGAAATTGTAGGTCGGCATCACTGGTGTATCATAAAAATTGACACTCTTCATTTCAACTTCATTCTACGTGAGATAAATATCACGAACATTCCGTGTTGTTCGCAATGACATCTTTATTAGACTGATAGGGCAAACTATAAATACATTAACAATCTGTTTCACCCTACAAAATAAGTAATAACAATAAATACCACAGAAAAATTCAATACAAAATACATTCTAAAATCAAACTTTAAATGATTTCAAGAGAGTAGCACCAGGCTCATTACTTACTTAAGCCCATCGCTCCTCCTGGAGCATAGGCCGCCGACAACATTCCGCCAGAGTGCTGTCCTGGGCTGCTCTTTCAGGTTGTCTCCTACTAGTCTTGAATTTAGCAAATAATTATTTAAGAAAATTTGTACGAACTTGTAAGACCTACCCACGATAAATAGGCGCAAACATGTACTATTTCAGAAGATACTACCACAGCGGAATTGGTCTCTTTATACAATCACCAGCATACAGAGAGAAATATAAAATACACCTTAAGTGTATGTATCTTGGTTCGCATGTAACATCCCAGAATTCAAAGTAAACTACTTCACAGTTAATTAGCATTCCCCCCGCTTCCTGCACAACTATTTGAGGCTCTTGACATTTCGGCATAAACGGCAATTACTCGGAAAGGAAATAATTCTCTTCCGTTTAATCGAAGAACATTTAAGTGCCCCCTCTCGCTTAATATTAAATATCGAGCCTTGTACTATTACTAAAACAACAACGGCTACACTATAACTACGCACACACAACTTCAACATTATCATAGACAATATGCTAAGGATGGTTGCTACGACTGTCAGAAAAATTGATTGAAATGTAATAACCATTAGAGCTTAGTCAAACTCGGAACCATCGGGTTACAAAATTTCTAGTTTGGAGTCAGCTAAACGACGGGGAGTCACTTGAGGAGCCTCCATTTGAAAATTTAGATTAACAACAATAAAGAAAGTAGAAAAAAAATGAGGGAACTTCATGGGTCTCTTCAAGTAAGCCTGGTCGAACAGGCTGGCTTGATTACCAGGATCTCATGCACTTTTCCACAATAGCCATTGCTGAAATTATACTGTTTTCATAAGAAGAAGTGAGCTGGGAAGGTGAGCTAAAGAGCTTACTACGATCCTGTTTCTCGGGAAAAAAAATCTCGATAATGGAGAAAGACAATATACCTCGGGAAGACTGCAGTCCGATTACTGGCATAAAATTTGAAATATTGTGTCCTTTCCATCTTGGTACCAGATGAAAATTATTTCCATACAAAGAGGCGACAATTCCAGGTAATCCTTTCGTCGAGTTCAAATGAAATGGTCCTATGGCTACACTAGTGTTTGTTCAACTATTTACAGAAACTTTCGAAATAAATCATGCCCCATCAATATGGAGACTCGGATATCAACCGATCTGACAACACGGTAACATCAAATGAAACATCTCAAGGTGGAGGATTGCTTGTCTGCATATATGCGGCATAAGGTGGCGTCCTCTCATAAGTAACTGGCGTCTGTGGACAAATCAAACGAGACCTTTTTAGAAAAAGGGCCGTCGGAAGGCATATCAAGACGTTGATGAATTCAGAAAGGTAAAATCGTAGCCAAAACTCATGTTCTGAGCGCTTTTGGAGCCCACTTTTCCAAATGTGAAACCCGATGTGATAATAAAATCACTTTTAGTTGACAATAAATTGTCATTGACAACAGCCTTTTCAGTTCTACTCTTGCCTGGATAATGACACCAAACGGCCAAGCTTTCTAATGTGTTCAATTTCATACATAAACCAAGGGAGTGGAGGCTAACACAGAACCGCGGAATATCATCTTTAAATACACAGAAACAATTTTCAGCGAGAGAACTCTCCTTCTTAGTATTAAAAATAATCTGTTTGAAAAAAAATTCAGGCTTGTACAGGAGCTAGTATATGATAATAATTTACTGACAGTCATACAAGCGAGTGAGTCGCGGTGTTAGTACAGTCCTCACGCTCGGTTAGTATAAAGTTAATATCAAACATTTTTAAGGTAGCGGAATACTTGTCATTAATTTCAGAGCGCCCTCTTTCGATGTGGGAGGGGTGGACAACATCAGAAGCGAAATCTGCATTGTGAATGAAGATGGCGAAGAGTATCTTCCGCATTCTGTACACAAGAAAGCCCAAGTATTATCATAAAAAAGAGATTTTATTTTAAGAGAATCCTACCAATCCTAAATTTAACAAGTAATTCTCAATGCAAAGTTCTACGAATTACATAGTAGGTATCTACAATCAAATAATAAGAAAGATTTACCATTTCAGAATTCGAAGCTAAGATACTACCAAACTTGGTCTTGATACAATCCATTACAATTCAATGACTCAAAAATGAGGTAATAATTATTTCCAGAAAAAAAGCTTGTAAGTTGACAACCAAGAGATACAGCTGTTTGACACAAGGAAAGGTTACCGCAATCAGACTTAAAGGAAATACGGAGAAGATGAATTGATTGCCCAAAGATGCAGCTTAGTTTTCGAGAAGTCAAGAAAATTCTAAGTGAAAAACATCACAGTAAAATGTTACTTTTTCATTTTGTACATCCCTGTAAGGCCCTTCGACATCTCGCGATATATTGTATCTTCCCAGAGGAGATACCCTTTCCTCTTCCCTTGTTATCTAAGAGGATTGAACTGCCTCTTGGTATACCTTTCACTGAATAACAATTCTTGGACTATTGACAAAACTGCAATTACTACACTGTACCCACTCTCATACAACTTGCAAACAACGATGGACTACACCTTAAGAGTTATTTCTAAGATGTTTCGGGTGATACAAAAAAGTGCCGGGTCGGATTGCAATAACATGGAATATGAAGAAGATATGGTGAGGCAAATTTTTCACGGTGCTGGATCAATAAACTATGTTTTGTATTGACTTTACTGCTTTCATTGGACTATTAAGTTTTTACGTTTTCAAATTGATGAAATGAAGTAGTAAATTAAATTTAATGTCATGTTATTTAGTCTGAAATCCTAAATGCGCGTTTGCTCGCTTTTGAAAAGCGTGTAAACGATATCCGACTTTATAATCCGTCAAATACTTTTTTCTCGCGCGCGATTGGTCTAAACGTATCACGTTATCGAATATTCCTCAGCTAAAACTGGGGGATACCTAAAAATGTATCTCAAGTGATATTCCTTAATTTTCAAATCTACATCCACTACGATTAGTCTTGGTTTAAAATTTAATTCAAGATGAGAGAGCGTTTTGTGGTTGTTACGGAAGAAGGGAATATATTTTTTTTGTTTATACAGTCGTTCCAGAGGACACTCCAAAGAAAACACCTTGCGCAGCAAACATCAAGCTGATCGTGAACATTTTTTTCACGCGCGTTGCAAACCATTTGAAGGATAAACTCGACAGCCTCAGTTTGGCGCGAAAATATGCTCGCATCTTTGTCCTTGGACATCATCTGTTCGTATCTTGGAACACATAATGTCCGCGGACAAATAAGCGATATTTTCGTACCAAATATAAACCATGTTTTGTGTGTTCTCTGCACCAGTTGGTCGAATGATTACCAAGCGTCCCTGTGGTCCTATATATGCAGGCAGCCCAGGCTGAATGTACGTCATTTGTTGATTGGTTACCATCTAACAGCCAAACGTAAAATAATAAATTTCACACCTGCAGTACGTAATACATTTTCATGAATCTAGCAATGTATTGGTATGTATCTGCATTTTTTTTACTGTCACTGACAAAATTTACCGACCCTCGGCCCCCTACCACCTAGAATTAAATAATTACCGTTCCCTTACTTGTATGAATCCGTATGTATCCGTGTATAAAACTTAAAATTCCATTGTTATTCGTGTGTCACCCGAACAACTCCCGCGATATTAACAGCGGTAGCCCGTTGTTTCACATCGGAACTGGTATTTGAAGCATTCTTTGGGTTTGTGTTCGTTCATTCACTTCAGTCGTAACAAAAAGGTATCACCCAAAGTCAGTTCATTTTTCAAGATAACTCCTGACGATGTTACACTGTTTGCTCGAATTGGTAGCTTCTCCGGAGCTGCTACGTGTGTTTAAAGGCAAGACTCCGTAAAGATAAATTAGCTTTCCAGAACAAGAAGAACTCCTCTTTCGCTCAAACACCCGTTCGTAACCGTCATTTTTGAGGGTAACTTCTGACTTGACTTTGAATTTTGCAAGGCCCGTATCTGTCGTTCAGAAAGGGACTTCCCCGTTGCTAGAGCTGTAAGGGTTGTATTTGAACAATGCACAATTTCTTA